GACATAGGAGAAAATCCTAGTGTGGGCAACTTTTTCTTTTTTAACAGAAAGAAAGAAAAGAAAGTCAAGATTTGGTTTTTTGTTTGTTTGTTTGTTTGTTTGAATTGAATAGGCTACAAACCTATGTATCAGAACAATTTGAAAAAGTATTTTACCGTTGGAATCCTACATTATTCCTGATGAACATGGGCTATATTTATTAAGAGAAAAAAAAGGGAACCGTGTGAAAATTTCGCTAATGTACCCCGATGTGTGAGAAAAGTACCAAATAACTTTGACTGCCAATAGAAAACTGTTGTAGACAAATGCTGTGGGTTTCCTAGGACTAATATTTAGCTGCTTCGGGATCAGGAATTTTAACCTTCCGTGTCTATATGACGTGGATCTACGCGAGACACAATATATTCTATTGTGTCTCATATCGGTGCATTCAAAAGGTTAAGGAAAAAATTTTAAATCAATGAATTGAAGACATTTTATTTATGCTAGCTTCTGCTCACGGTTTCGTTCACGCATTTTTAGATTGGGGGCAATTTTACAAAAGTAGAAAAATAGACATAAGCATGATTTTTTTGCTGATAACAAAATATAGTCGGCATACCAAGCTTTCTACTTTGAAATTTGCGAAATATTCCATGCATACTTCCACTCCTGTTTTAGGAAAGTGGTGATTTAGAAAAATACAAAAAGCAGCCTAACAGGCTCTCCATCAATTCAACTAACTCCACTCAAAAAATTCTCAGTTCTTTCGTGAAAGCCGGACAAACGTTCACATATAATAGTAATATAATAATAAGCTCGGTCTTCAGCTCTTCTCATCCAACCACTGCCAGCCACCTTGCGGATGTCGTCACTCCACCTAGCTGGAGGGCGCCCTACACTGCGTTTGCCTAGACGCGGTCTCCACTCTAGAACACATTTACCCCAGCGGTTATCAAGTCTTCGACAAATGTGACCGGCCCACTGCCACTTCAGCTTCTGACTCTTTGGGCTATGTCCATAACTTTGGTTCTCTGTCGGATCACTTCGTTTCGGATTCAATGCTTCAAAGAGACTCCGAGCATAGCCTTCTCCACCCTTATTACTATTTGCCCTGAAACCTTTTTGTTCGTCACAAAGTAATTTATGTTTTTCAAAATATGTATTTGTATATGTATTTTTCAAATATTTTAAAAATAATTGGTATCAGCGAAATTGGTTTATAATTTTCCATTAATTCCCTATTTTATTTTTTTAAATAATGACTTTATTATAGATTTCTTTAAGGCGGCTGGAAATATACCTTTACTAATGCTTAGGTTTATTATATGGCTTAAAGGTCGGCATACCTCTTTAATAATATTAGTATTAAAACCATCGCATCCTACGCTGTTAGTGTTTTTCAAAGATTGAATAATTTTTACTATGTCTTGTGGCACACTCGGAGCCATAAACATTGAGTCCTTTTTACTTGTAATATATTTACAAATTCCAGTGCAATGCAAGAGGGATGGTTGGATTTTATCAACAAAATAATTATTAAGTAAGTTACTTATTTCGCTAGGATTTGTTATGTATTTATGTTCAAGACGGATTTTATTTATTTTATGTTCAGGTATATTGAATTTTGTACTATTAATTATTTGCCAGGAAGTTTTTGATTTGTTCAATGATGTTTTTATTTTATAAGTATTTTGTGCAATTTTTGTCTTATTAACAATTGTTCTAAACAGTTTAGAATATTTTTTAACTCGCTCATATTCTGAATGGTCGGTTTTACTCGGTACTTTCACAACAGTGTTCGTTTCTTTTTACTACACAGCTTTATCCCACGTGATATCCATTTCTGTTTTTTATTTACATTTATTGATACCACAGCCTCAGGAAAACATTGATTATAAAAGAACGAAAATATTTCATTGAAGGTATTGTATGCTTCATTGGGGTCACTGGATTGATAAATATCTGTGAAGTGTAGCCTTTTTATACCTCTATAGGACTTAAAATATCTGGGCTATAGTTTCTTTTAATTGTACGCCATCGATTCGTCTCTTTTCTACGATTATGCATGCACCACCTCTCTTACTTTCTTTGCGACTATAACATGCAGCTAGGTAGTAGTTAGGGACGTCGATATGATTAACGTGTTCCTCTACAACAAAGTGGTCAGTCAAGCAAAGGACGTCTACTTTCGTATTTCGCTCTTTTAGTTCTTGTAGACATACAGACAAGCTATCAGCTTTTGATAGCAAACCGTCAATATTTTGGTGCATTACATTTATATATCTCTAGCTGTATCTATTTGATTCGAATTCGGTACAAAATTTTTATTTAATTAGTCTTTTACGTCCACAAGTTGTTTAAATTATGGTAAATTTAACGAACCTAATGTCATATGGCATTGTCTACCAGTCAAACTTTGGGTTTAAGGATACATCTGCAAAAAAATTAGGTACGGACAATAAAATAACAGCAAAAAGAAAAATAACATTAATAAATATACATATAGATATGTATTTTGATATACAACAAAGGTCTGCAACCCGTGAAAGGACCCATGTCCTTTCCTAATTCTATAATTAACCTTGAAAAGATTCAATTTCTGATAGAAGTCATTATTATACGTGGAAGAAGTCGCAGGGAACAGCTAGTCTGCTAGTACATTACATAGTGGCACTCGTGTATGTATATATGTGATACTCGCGATTTCGTCCGAGTAAAGTGCATATTTGTATGGGATGTACAAAGTGCTTATTTGTGCAGTTTATTAAACGTTTCCCCACCCTAGGATTTTCTCCTGTGTCGTGGGTGCGTTTACAAACATACAAGTTCACATACACATGACACCCAGACCAGAAACAACAATCTATGGATCACACAAAGGGTTGTTCCGTGCGGGAATCGAACTCGCGACACGTTGCACGGCAGCCAGTTGCCCAGCCGCGTCCCCGCGCCAACCGTGCAGCCACTGTACTATATACTATATAGACAAATAAAATAAATTTATTTATTCCTAGCTTTTGTCAGCGGTGTGTTATACCAGTTGAAATTTATCCCCTAAATTTGTTCATACAAAAGTAGTCTCTAAACATTGGAAATAAGGTCTATAATGTAGTTAGTGGAGAGCGGTCACCGGTGACCGCTTGGAGATGTTTGGGTTAAGACCAAAATCTAACTCTGTTCCAAATTTCATCCCGATCCCTTCAGCAGTTTTGATGTGACTGCTTGACAAACATACAAACAATCAAACTAATTTTCGCACTTAGAATAGCGGTTCAAGCTAATTACGACCATCGGACCTACAGTTACAGCGTACAGTCCACTGCGAGTAACCCAATATTCAACAAACTTATATTTGCGTTTGGTTCTAATCGTGTCTGGGGGTCGAGCCGCACATTTAAGTTGGTTTTTTGTGTAAAATTTCGATATAAAAAATAATCTTTGTGATGCCCAGGATATTTAAGTATAATTGTACCAAGTTTCATCGTAACTGGACTGGTAGTTTTTGCGTGATATGTGAACATACATACAGACAAAGTGATAGACAGACAAAATTGTTTTAAATCACATTTTTTGTTCGGTTGGGCTCTATTCAGTAACACCCAACACTATATTTTATATTAAAATGTACAGAATTTACACTTCTATAGTTATATTATTATATGTATGTTTAGATTCAAGTACTGACTGATATCTGTCATGCTCAAATAGGTGACCCAAGGAAAATGTTATTATGTTAAGTTCCAGCTTTCTAAGTCCTATAGTTACAGCAATACAATGTATGTAAATCAATCAGTTAACTACTCAAGCTGTAACGAATAAGTTTTATAAGTATAAATTCAATTTTTTTCTTGTATTTATTTTTAACACCGTACTCAGACTCATTTATCTCAGCCTTGGCAGCGGTATTTTCGAACCCATACGACCTTCAAACCTTCAACAAAGGAGCGAATTCCTATTTAAGTCTTTGACTGCCGACAGAAAACTGTTGAGGGTAAATCCTCCGCTATCGTGGCCCATACCTTGTCCCCTATGGCATTTAAGGTGTTAAAAGGCCGGCACCGCACTTGTGACTCCTCTGGTGTCCATGTGCGGTGCTGATCGCTTACCATCAGGTGATCCGTCGGCTCGTTTGCCCCCTATTCCATAAAAAAGACCCAATTGGTATTGTGATGATTTTCCTTCGACCAAAACCTACTGCCAAGGGCTGCCTTAGCAATAGGTTTTGGAATAAAAACGATATCGGAATACAGGAATAGTTTAAGTAATCATAATTGTCACCGAGTACGGCAGTTAGATTGATAATTTAATAGACAGTAAGTTAGTCATTCGCTTGGACGAGATTATCATTCGAGTCCATTTCGTTGGTTGAATCTCACTGGAAAATCATTGTTACATTAGGAGTCCTGTCCAGCCCCAATTATAGGATAGGTAGGTACGTGAATACCGATTTTGGATAGGACTTCGATCGAACTATGATCTAGTGACTATAAAACTTCAACTGATTGATTTTAGATGGATCAGAGTGGCATCTGGTCAAAACTAGTAACTATTTAATTAATAATATGACATAAAGATAGACTAAGAACCCAGGTAAAATGAAAACAGTGAAGATAAAATGAAATACTATTATGTCACTTAATTTCACTTTTTTCTAACTAGGCAATCTAAATTGAGCGACAATAATTCGTCTACTAAAATACTTAATTTTTACTATACTATAATCATCATTATCAATTGAAAGCCCCAAATTGTAGTGCTTGAAAAATATTTATTTTTAAAAAATTAACAATTTTACTAGTTGCCCCAAAAACTTCCGAAATACTTCCCAATTTACGCCGGATCCCACCTGATCCCTTCTATGATGGATACATTGTCACCAAATTAGGAATAAAAAAATAACCGGTCCACAAGTAGAGGAATAATCAAAAAACATCATTGCAACTAATAATAAATTTTTTGAAGTAAGGAAAATAAACAACTTACTAATTTATTGAAACTTTTCATTTATTGCAAAAGTACAATAAAAATAAGTATAAGTATAAGATTATGTCGCTTTATTTGCCATTTAATTACTAACGGCACATCTGTATCGACAATAAACTTCGCTATATTGTGTGCAAATTATTTATGTATTGTTTTGTCACCGAGTCGGGACTGAGGTATGAATAGGATACCATAATTCTTTATTATCTTAACTTAACAATATTTATTTCCATGTGTGACCGTGCTTATATTATATCGGAGAATCCACCAATAGTCACAACTTAGCCGCGAATGAAGTATTTTATTCTGCATCGCTAAGTGGTCCTGAAAAACAACATACATTAGTTAGTACTACTATGTCCAAAAATTGTAGGTACTTCTTAAGAAAAATGAATGGGACCCAATATAGTGCCTTGTTGCACACCCGTCATTTCTAATTTCACTTTAATGAAAAATATTAATTTATTTTGACAATTCTATTTTTAATAGAAAAACTATTTAGGTATTATTAATTTTTATGCATCAACTAGACACTACAAATATTTTAAACAGCCTTTTAACTTTACAAAATCAGTTGATACTTGCCTCCAATGCTAGCGTCGTGGTAATCAAACGCCTTTAAGAAATCTGACAGTGAACAGCAGTACGTGTACTTATCACTAACTTTGAACCATGGTTCATCATCACTGTTACAGACGTTTTTGCATTTAATATCTGAGTCTGTTGGTGCACGATCGTTGACGTGGATGATAGCAAAAACTTCATCGTCATCAAAACGAATTACCTGAAATATTCAATGGTAAATGAATTAAGTGAATATTTATCCATTTTGTAAAGACAGATGTACCCATCGTAATAGTAGGTATTCTGATATTTTAGCACAGTAACCATAATATATCTCAAAATGACATACCTTCCATAAATATCGGGGTATAACAGCTCCATCCTTCTTTTGCCAGGTGTCAGTTCCAGACCAGACGACAAATTCGTCGTAAAACGTCTGCTCTCTTACCATTTTATTAACAGATTCCCACGACGTCTATAAAGTTAAAATCGCTGATTAGTCAACAGTTACAGTAGCATAATATTTTAGAATTACCTTAATGGTAAGTTAATTAACTTTACCTGAGAAGCACTACAAGGGCGCCAGGCTGGAACTACATTCAAAGGATCGATAAAGGTGGTGTTCATCTCAGCAGCATATTTGAAGTCTTTTGCCTCCACCAGCTGAGATTTTGCGTAACAGCAAGATGACAGCTTGTTTTTACAAGTAAACGCCTTCTCATTGTGACTGTCTTCAATACCAGGGTAGGTGTGCCAGGCATAAGTGGAACTGAGCTTATCATTCTTTGCGGTTACGATGTTGCGAATGTATCGAGGCATACGCACTGTTTTGTCAAAACAGACTTCATAAGATTCTAAGAAGCCGCCAGTATTGTATCCTACTTTTATTAATTCCGAATTGCCTGTCAAGCATTTAACGTTCTTTTTGGCAACGGTGGGTTGAATTCCTTGTGTGCATTGCAGATCAGAAAGTTTATACCTTTTCCCGTCAACTATGAATACGTCTTCTTTGTCACAATACGCTTTTAATACGGTCTTCGATGGGAACTTTTTGAAGGAATTTGAAGCATCTTTGCGGTTTGGACATGACAGTGTCATTTTTTCTTCTTGTTCTACTACTGAAAAATATTTTGATATCTCCCATGTAGGCCAAGCACCTTTATCGTCAAGTACGAGCGGCATATACTCGGCATCTTTCAAGTTTTTGGGTATCAAGCACACTGTAATAAAGAAAAACTTTAGTTGTTCATGTGCTTATCATAAAAAGGTGACTTGACTATAGTATAGAGACAAAATAGGTGAACAAACTGATCAGACCATCATTTATCACTTCTAAAATATTTTTTGACAAATATCTAAAAACAAAAGAGTAGTAATACACAAAATCCTATAATTGTATTTATTGGTCGTCACAGTGTAAACAGTTGGTATAATTTAGTAAATACAAAACTTATAGCATTAGGTGAGAGGGCTTATAATGAATTGTACTAAGTAAGAAGTACTTTTTAAAATATTTTGGTATATATCTAGGTTTTAATGATATACAAAATCCAATAAAACCGAATCTTCAATCAACTAAGCTGTTTGAGCAAATACTATTTCAAATAACTTCATATTAATATTTTGAGTACGGAAGTAACACTTACCAGAAGACTTTACATCAAAATCTTTCAATACTGAGCCGTGTGGATTAGAGACGTTGCAAGTATAATGACCCCATTTGTAGATGACACCTATATCTTGCACATCACTATCGGGTATCACTTTACCATTGTATTTCCATTGGACCTGAAAATTATTCAAGTCGATTTTAGTTTCATAGTAAGTGTTGATGGAAGTAGACACGTACGTTTCTACCTACGCTAAGAGTCATGTGCTTGGACTTACTTTAGCTTGTGGTTTTGCGTCGCTGTCGCAGTTCGATCGGATTTCTTGTACTCCGCCACGCCAATCATTAAGAGGACTATCTCCCAATAGTTTGGGTGGGCCGCCCACATTTACAACGTATGTGTGTGTTTCCGTGTGTCCCTGCTTGTCACTTACATGACATGTGTAGTTACCGTCATTTGAAACTGTTGCTTTAGTTATTTGAATGGATTTCTGTTTCAACTCTCCCTCATTCTGTGGAAGCAAAAAATAATATTAGAGTATCCTGGATAAACGAAAAATGGATCAATTTTCGTGTAAGAAATTGCGAAATGTACTTACATCGAACCATTTAATTGATTGAGATTTAGAACGATACGCATCACATTCGATATTCCTATTTTCATCATATAATAAGTACACAAAATGTGTTGTTCCGAAGGTGCTGGGTCTTTCTGTATGAAATAAAATCATAATTCTTAATTAATGACAAACAAATTTGACGTTATTATATTAAGAGTAGAAGAGATTAAAGATTATTTTTATGTTTTTCTAGAAGAATTGACATTGACTACCTTAAACATAATGTTTAAACAGTATTTGTAACGCCTTGATTTATTTATTGTTGTGTGTTTTTATGTGTCTAATTGTTGTGTGTAAGATAATGAATAGAAAAGTCTTACTTTCAAGTGTAAGGTCGATCGTGCTACTGGCTGACCCAAGATAGTTTTTAGCTTCACATGTGTATTTTCCAACATCAATTTTACTTGGGTTCATGATAACCAACGATCCATTGTCAAACGAGTATTTTGCATCTGAAAGAAAACAGCAATATTTTTAATGTATGTTTCTATTGTTATCAAACACCACAATCATCAGCTGGAAAACATTCAAATATTGGAGGCCTTTAAAGAAGGAGTAGTGGCGTCTCCTTTACCATGCTGTTGCATCTTTTGGTTGCTGGTTGCTATTGTAGGACGTCCCAAGTTCCTAACGCTTCTATATTTTTCTAAAAATATTAGTCCTTATTTTTGTGGGATTAGCAAGTCATTACATTTAATACTTACTGGGTGTGATGATAGCTCCTTTTAGTTTCCATGTGATCGTGGGTCGTGGAACGCCTATGACATTGCAAGGTATCTTTATTGCCACATCACCTTCTATGGCTTCCACTGATTTAGACTTTGTCACGATATCTGGTCTTGCTGCAAACGAAACAGTTCAACAATTAAGTAAATCAGAATTAAGAGATTTTCACTTTTTTATACATAAATTAGTTTTTTGAAAGATATTAATTTGGAAATAAACGATATTTATTATTAGACTAGCTGACCCGGCAAACTTCATCTCGCCTCAATTTTTTTTCTCACCTTTTAAACCTTCCCTGGACTTCCAAGAACATTTCAAAACCAAAATTAACCAAACCGGTTCAACCATTCTCGAGTTTTAGCGAGACTAACAAACAGAAATTCATTTTTATTTATATAGATAGATTTTTTAAGAATCCTAATAAGTCCCGAAAATCCTAGATGTATTGTGATGTGATTAACTTACATTCCACGGTAAGACTAGTGACGTGTTCGACCGTTCCAGCTTCGTTCTGTACCACACACTTGTAGCGACCTGTGTGTGTGTTTTCTGCCCTCGCAATGTGCATCACATCTAGCGATCCTGCGACTGGCACGAATTGTTTTCCAGAGTTATCCACGAACCATCTGATGTTCGGTTTCGGCCAACCCTTGACAACCCTGCAATTGATAACAAATTAAATATTCAATGACATGTGAAGAGAATTAATAAATTATTTTCTTGTTAACCCATTTCTCGTCTGACATTATAAATATCGTGTTTCTTTTTAAAATCCTGTAATACTATGTTAATCTCCACAACTCACTACCCACCTGCATTCTATATCAACGGCCGTTCCGAGGTTAACCTTCTTAGTAGAAACACCTACAACTTGTGGTTTCTCTGTAAAACAATAATTGTATTTCAGTATTATTGCGTAAAGATATGGTAATGTGTACGCATTCGTAACGCGGAATGATGTTTGTATATTTAAGTTCTGCAAATACTCACGTCGTATGAACGTTTTGAAAGTTGTGCTTACTGAGCCGGCCTCATTGGTAGCTACACATTCGTACGACTTACTATCTGCTACTGTCGGATATCTTATTACAAGTGTTCCGTCTTCTACCACATACTTGGCACCTGAAACAAATTAATTTATGCTTATGTTATTTTTATTTTCTTTTTGTCTTCTGGCTTTAATGAGTGCTCACATTCTCAAAGTTACAATGTACTATTAGGTTGATTCTTGTCTAAAACCTTGGACACAAATTGTACTACATTCCGATTGAATGCATGATCAGAACTTTGTAAAATATCCCAATAAAATGTCACGACTGTAGTTTCTTACTTGGCACTGCAATGGGCCGACCGTCCATTTTCCAGGTGATGCTTGGTTTTGGGTAACCAGTGACGACGCACGGTATCTTCAAAGTAGTATCTCCTTCAGTACTTTGATACGTACTGGATGAACTGGACATCATCCTTGGTATTTCTATAATGATAAAACAGTCCCGTATATTTTCTATTCATATCGAAATATGTAAGATTCTGTAGGACTTTTTGAAAAAAAAAATATTGTTGCATCGACAAAAATAAAACGGCTTTCATTCGATTATTTTTTACATGTGGAACTTCTGTAACACTTCTTAACAGTAACTGAACTAGGGCTTATCATGAATATTTGTGAATTAATTCGATCTAGTACTATTACAAAATCAAAGTACCATAAGAAGTTTAGAAAGGGTTACCAAGAAAAGTCAGGATTACCTTGAACAATTAATGTTGTAACCTTCTCATCCTTAGCTAATGCGTTTTCTGCCACACACTTGTACTGACCCTCGTGTTTGGCTTCTACATTATTAATACGTAACACGCTTCCGGTCTCAGCCAATGGTACAAACTTGGAACTAGATTTACCACTAAACTGCCATTTAATGGTGGGTATTGGAACACCACTTACTCTGCAGAAATAAATAACAAATATTATATTATTTAATTTACAGTGATGAATTAATTTAGAATAAACTACATTTTTATACTTTGTTAGAGGTATTTTTCAAATAAGAATGTGAATTCAAAAGTACGATAAAATGACGTGTTACATTTCTACTTACTTGCATTCTAAGACGACAGCCTTACCCATGACTGCTTTTACGTTAGCTGGCATTTGTATTTTTGGTGGAGCTGAAAATAATTATTTTTATAACAAAGTTATACGCGTGTTGATAGTATTGAACTAAGAACGTATTGTGATGTGATGAACTTACATTCCACTGTAAGACTAGTGACGTGTTCGACCGTTCCAGCTTCGTTCTGTACCACACACTTGTAGCGACCTGTGTGTATGTTTTCTGCCCTCGTAATGTGGATCACATCTAGCGATCCGCGGATTGGCACGAATTGTTTTCCAGAGTTATCCACGAACCATCTTATGTTCGGTTTCGGCCAACCCTTGACAACCCTGCAATTGATAACAAATTAAATATTCAATGACATGTAAAGAGAATGAATGGATTATTTTCATGTAAACCCATTTTTTGTATCATATTATTAAATATCGTGTTTTAAAATCCTGTAATATTGTGTTAATCTCAACAACTAACTGCTCACCCGCATTCTATATCAACGGCCGTTCCGAGGTTAACCTTCTTAGTAGCAACACCTACAACTTGTGGTTTCTCTGTAAAACAATAATTGTATTTCAGTATTATTGCGTACAGATATGGTAATATGTATGCATTCGTAACTCGTTAATCTTTATTGATGTTTGTATGTTTAATCACTGTAAATACTCACGTCGTATGAACGTTTTGAAAGTTGTGCTTACTGAGCCGGCCTCATTGGTAGCTACACATTCGTACGACTTACTATCTGCTACTGTCGGATTTCTTATTACAAGTGCTCCGTCTTCTACCACATACTTGGCACCTGAAACGAATTAATGTATGCTTGTATCATTCTTATTTTCTTTTTGTCTGGCTTTGATGAGTACTCACATACACAAAATTACAAAGTACTATTAGGTTGATTTTGGTCTAAAACCAAGAGTGAACTTGGACGCAAATTTCACTACGCACCGATTTAATGTATAATCAAATTTTTAAAAGCCACATTACAATATGTCGAAGTTAGTTACTTACTTGGCACTGCAATGGGCCGACCACCCACTTTCCAGATGATGCTTGGTTTTGGGTCTCCAACGGCTACGCATGGTATCTTCAAAGTAGCGTCTCCTTCGGTACTTTGATACGTAGTAGATGAACTGGTTACCATCCTGGGTAGTTCTGTAAAGTCAGTCAGTAAATATATCGGTCCCGTATATTTTCTATTCATATTGAAATATGTGAGATTCTGTAGGATTTTGAAATTTTGTTGCAGCATCGACAAATATAAAACGACTATTGTTCGATTTCTTTTTAACATTTTAAATATTTGTAAATGTGCAACTTCTCAATAAGAACTGAACTAAGATAAAGATATAGATCGTTTTATTTGCCAAAACATGTGTAGGTTATATAATAATATGTACATGCAAAAATGAATGTTTACTATAGATGGACAGTATTGTAAGGCTTCTTATCTTCGAATATTTGTAAATTTGGTTTATGAATATTATTCTTCGTGGAACTTCTCAACAGGAACTGAACTAAGGCTTATATTTGAATATTTGTGAATTTAATTTATCTAGAGTACTATTCTCAAAGTACCGTAAGAAGGTTAGAAAGGGTTTGTACATGTAATATTTACCAACAAAAGTCAGGATTACCTTGAACAATTAATGTTGTAACCTTCTCATCCTTAGCTAATGCGTTTTCTGCCACACACTTGTACTGACCCTCGTGTTTGGCTTCTACTTTATTTAAACGTAGCACCATTCCGGTCTCAGCCAGTGGTACAAACTTGGAACCAGATTTGCCTCTAAACTGCCATTTAATGGTCGGTATTGGTACACCACTTACTCTGCACAAATAAGTAACAAATATTATATTATATACTTGATAGTGATGAATTAATTTATAATAAAGCACATTTTTATACTTTGGTGGAGGCATTTTTCGGATAAGAATATGAATTTGGAAGAACACAGTTAGTAAAAGATGGACAGAACTTAATTTAAATGTGGCATGCTACATTTCTACTTACTTGCATTCTAAGACGACAGCCTTACCCTTGACCGCTTTTACGTTAGCTGGCATTTGTGTTTTCGGTGGAGCTGAAAATAATATTTTTATTAACCTTGAGACGTGTTAAGAATGTTGAACTAAGGATGATTGAAATAATCAAAGTAATGAGACTTGTTCAAAGTCTTTAACTAATTAAATATTTTGTATAAACATTGTCGACGGTGCATGCTCTGACTCGCATTCTATTAACGCAAGTGTCTCTCAAGGCTACGTGCTATCGCCAATATTGTTCCTCCTCCATATTAATGACTTGCTGCAAATCAGCGGCATTCATTGTTATGCGTATGACAGTATTGTCAGGTACGGTATACAGGCGATGCCTATTATATCGGCCGCGCTTACATTTCTAGGGATAATGTCATCGAAAGCCGAAACAGACTTGTGTCTGAAATCGAAACCTCTTTGAGGAGAATCTCAGATTGAGATGGGCTTAATTTGGCCAGGTCAACCCCACTCAGACAAAGGTGTTCACTTCTAAAAACTGCCGTTAGTCATCTTTCCTCAATTTTAAAGCACTACCTTAACTACCTCAGCCGGTAAAGGAATACTTGGTGTCGACATTTCGAGTGACGTCCAGTTCCGCGACCATCTAGAGGATAAGGCCAAATTAGCCTCAAATAAATTTTTGTGTGCTCAATAGATCGAGACAGTATTTCATCTCGGCTCATCGGTGTCTTATATATAATATTAGTCGCAGGTTTGGCCCCAAAAATAAAACTATTCTCATCTTTAGGTGGGAGCACCCCACCCCCACCCCATAACAGCTTCTTCCTCTGGACCGCGTCGAACGGCATGCGGTTCGAATTGTTAGGCGTCGGGTTATTTCAAACCGGCTAGATACTTTGGCAATGCGTAGATATGTAGCTTCACTGTGCATCTTCTATCGCTTATCACGTTTGGTTTGATGCCTGCCGCGTCTTTTCTCCATAGTCCCACACGACAGCATATTTATCCCTATGATATGGATGATTGACAGGCCACAACTTTCTGCCTCGCTCAGCTAAACCGGAGAATGATTTGTCGTCGGCAGTATTTTCGAACCGATGCGACTTCCAAACCTTCAAGAAAAGAGCATATTCCTAACCTAAAAAGGCCGGCAACGCACTTATGTCTCCTCTGGTGTTGGCACTGTCCATGGGCGGTGCTGATTGGTTACCATCAGGTGATCTGTCTACTTGTTTGCGTCTTATTCCATAAGAAAAACAACAAGTGAAGCTCGTCTGTGTGCTGATGGTGGTCACTGTCGGGAGACTTGTTTGAAGTAAAAAACCCATCTTTCTTTTTCCATCCATCTTTCTCCCAAAAGTTTTTGAAATCGAAACATTTTGAATGTTCATTTGAAAGGAAATAAAAGGGGTTCGCGAGCTTATGTTTACATTTTTGATATAATATTCTATGTATATTATGACAATAATATATTTGAAGTTGACCAAGCACATAGTCAGGTTTAAAAACAAACTAATTTACTTACCCAATCCAGTCACTTGAACTCGTTGAGTCAATTCCTTTTTAACATTTTTATCGTTTACCAGATGAGCTAGGCAGACATACTTTCCAACTGAATTGACATCTACTTTCTTTATTGTTAATCCAGTTTTGTCTGCTGATATTGAGTATTCGTTAGAATTGACTACTTCTTTCTTCGCTCCAGTCATTTCATTCATATAGTACCAATGAATGTCCATAGGAAGTCGCGAAGTGATGTCACATTTTAGGATTCCCGGCTTGCCGTATTCCATGTTCACACCTGCCACATATTATATTTTATTTAGTGATCTTCCTCATTTTATAGTATTAGGTACCTAATGGTATTATTAATTTTTCATTCAGATAGGTTTAAAACTGAGTGATAGTTATTGATGAAATTATTGGGACGCCAGAACTAGGAAGAAATATTAATTTTAGAAGATTTTTAGAAGGGACACAACAAATAAAGCACCTTTTGCCGCCAACGAATTGTATAGAGAAATACATTAAAAAAACGATGCGATACGCAAATATATTCCCAACTTACTTGATCGAACATTTACTACAGTGAAAGCGTCTTTAACATTAACTTGAATTGAAGCTGTATTGGTTCCCACATCATTTACTGCAGTGCATATATATTTATCTTCTTTTGCGACAGGCATTTCCAGGTAACTAATGTAGTCATACGGGTATTCAATCATAGAACTCTGTAAGTTAATTATAGTAGAATTATTTGCTTGTTCTTTTCTTACTAGGTTAGGATTTAAATTCAGATGGTCATCAGGTAGTGTAATCATAAAATTGTTCACAAAAAAGTCGTTGGTTGAGGCAACTCATTGGTCAACTTTGGATTGTTGTAACAGCGCAATTTTCTGATTGAACGTTGTCCTTACCTGTTGCAGAATTTTGTGTATGTTTCTAAATGCAACTACGATACAAGAGAATATTCTAGTGTAAGGCTAAGCTTTGCTTACTTCATGTATGTCATAGAATTGTGGCATTTTATGATGACTTTATTGTGTAGACGTGGTAACGACACAATAAAATACAATTACTCGTATAATCACCATAATGCAACTGATTACTTACTTTAGAACTAATTAGTTGTCCCTGTTTGTTATACCAAGATATTTTAGGTTTGGGGAATGCGGTCACTTTGCATGTTAATTTCATTGAACTATTGTATTCTACAGTTGTTTCTCTGCCCTCAGATATCACAGCTTTGGGTACTTGTTTGTCTGGTAATTCTGGAAACAAGTTGTAAGTTTATTTAGCAACAAATCAATTTCTCTACAACGTTCTAGGAAGTAATCTTCTTATAAAGAAGTTTACCTAAATTGACTATTGTGGAGGATGGAGTTACGGGTAGAAGTAAATAAAGATAATAAAATGAACTTACTTATTGGTGGTTCCGGAGGAGTAATAGGAATCTTCGCGATACGCTTTATGATGCGACCCGTTGCTTTCACTCTCCCAATCACCTAAATTATAAATAAATATTGTACTATCTCGTTGTTGGTTAACAATCAAGTACTTCTAACGAATGTTATTACAAAAATAAATATCCTGTAATTATTACTTACCGCTACTTTGAACCTTTGTGTCGGTGTAACCAAAGGTGGAGTGACGTAAAAATCTTTAGAAATTTTGGTCAACGGAAGATCGGGCCTGATCGGCTTTTCATCCATTCCTAAGATCTGGGCCTTTATAATTTCCACTGATTCGCGTTCATCAGTAACTAATACTGATAAGTGGACATTTGTATCTGAAAAACAAAATAATGCACTAATATAATACGATGTTATTTATTAGCAATATGAAGGAATAATAACAACTAAGGTTTAAAATTGGAGAAAGATGTTAACGTTATTGTTGAATCAGCTTTGTCGTGTAATATACTCCACATATCAGTATAATTTGTCGAAGGTACCAGTCCCGCAGTGTCATAAATATTTCTAAGACAATAGCAAACTATTTTCTTATTATATTTTGAACGAGTTACTCACTGACTATTGGTTGGAGAGACGTGTCTTTAAGTGACTTGGGCTTCAACTCCGAGAAACCATGTTTGAAGAGGAAATCAGACCTGCCCACTATGACGACGGATGTCTCTGAGGTACCTTTCACGGTAGCGGTATACCTGCCAGGCGTTACGTTAACCAACTTCACCACCTTAAACAATCAAGCGTTTTATTTAGCTTTGTGACCTACTTCTATTTGTACAATTGCTTGTCTTTTAAACTCTAGAGACCCTTTACACAAATAATGAAGCTGTGGAATGGAGATGTGGTTGCATAAAATCTCCGTTGCGATTTATCAGTCTTATTTTTGGATTTTTAAATAGTATTTTATTCTTACTGTACCTACTGACATAAATCGTATTACACATTGTGTAATAAAATGTAGTATTTCTCATGACAATTACATGAGGAATCTATAAAGGGATAATAATTATTAATGAGGATAAGCCGACCAGAACCTCCCAAAACCGCTGCAACTTTTGTAAGCCAAGATCTATATTAGCTACAACTATAAAAATACCGGAACACTGAAGTCTCAGGGACATGAATAACTGTCTCGGTTCCCGCAACGAAATAAATCAGAAGATATTATTAGAGGAGAATAAAAACAACCATAGTTTCCACATTCCTCGGTAAATTATAGCAGGAGACAGAATAAAATAAGCGTAAAGGCACAAAAGAAAATGTAACTACAATTGGAAGAAACCCAGTCGCCAAGCATGGTAGAAACTTGACGGAAAACTAAGTGGGTCCTATGTGTGACCTGTTATACTTGCTTCTTTGGCTATAAACTTGCTAGTATGGCTATAAAAGGATAATGGGTTCTCTTGGAACTGAGTGTTTGTCATGGGAGAAAATCTAATTCAATTGTATTTTAGACTTTGTGATACTCACTTTACCATTGGCATTCCACATTAGGTTCTCCTGTTTGCCAGCAGGTCCAGATAATCTTAGATACACGTCCTTACCCGACACAGAAACAATAACGTATTCAGTTTGGTCATCTACGTCGAACTGAAACAATTACATGGTATTTGGACTAAACGGTTTTATTAAGCTTTTTTTTTTTTTTTTTTATGGAATAGGAGGCAAACGAGCAGACGGATCACCTGATGGTAAGCTTGCTCCGATTCTATGTTTGGGTCAAAAGTATACACTTAGAATGTTACCCCCTGCCTGATAACGGATCGATCTGATATTTGGGACACCCTCCTTATCTTGACGACCATGCAATATTATAAAGTATTTTTTCCCTAACTACCTCCATTATGAATATTAGACGAAAGAGTAACATAATAACATAACATCACGTCTTTTAATCCCCAAAGGGATAGGCAGAGGTGCACATTTCGGCACTTAATGCCACTGTACAATGTAACACCCACTTTTCACTATTTATTAACACCCAATTTTCACTATTCACATTTCCAGACTCCGTGTTAATACTGAGATTTTTAAAATCCCAGTAATACTTTGCCCGACCCGGGAATCGAACCCGTGACCCCTTGCCCGGCAGCCACACTTGCGACCACTCGACCAACGAGGTAATTGAAATTAAAACAGATATTTTTGGTCACCAGATGGTGCTAGTGCATTCTCTTTCGTTTTTCATACAATAGAATAGAGAAATAGCTAGTATTACAAAAGTAGACGTTCAATACTTGACAGCTACAGTTGGCTGCGCAAATGTATCTAACAATACATAAAAATTGTCTTGTTACATTTGGGTGGTGACCAAATGCTATAAGGAACACTTACCGGGATATCTTTCAAAACACCAGCTGGCACAGTCGTCGTAGTAATTATAATCTTTTCGCCACTTATAATGTCAGTTATTGGTTTGAGTACCTGGTAATAAAAAGCAGAATTAATAATCCATAAAAATAAGCACAAAATTATAAAATATATTAATAGAAATATATATGTCATCCTAGTTGTAAGCATTTTTGTAATTGGTTCCTATTAATTATAACATTCTAACTTTATTATTGTAACATGTAACTTTGCATGCCGAAAACAGTAGGCGATGTATGTGGGACTATTTTTTATAATCATTATCACCTGTAATTACCATACTTCATGCAAATAAACATTCTTATTATTCCTAAGTAAGGAACCTCATCTTTTATCAATGGAGAAGTTATATTATTGTTGAGATTATAAGTTGTTTTATAATCCCAACAATAATATAATTCAGAGGCTAGAGTATATAGCTAATTGTTATTATTTTGTTACTAAGCATCTGGCAGCGGCTTCGCTCGCGGTAAAAAGTGCTATATGATATTCCAGATAGTAATTTACTCTTGTTCTACATTTCATCCCAACCCCTTCATTGGTTTTAACATGATTGAGTACCAAAAATCTTTCGTTTATTCAAATATTATGTGTAGTTTGCTATGTCAAAAACTATTTATTTTGACATTTCAAAGCAATAAAATATTTAAAAGTAAATGTACTTTCACATATTGATTTCACGGTATTTCATTCATTCCTATTCCTAACAATTTTTTAAGAATCAAGTATGTAGTATTGTACAATTATCTATCTATATTTATGTTATTTAATGCATGCGTTTGATGAAGTCATAAGTTGGCATTTCATACAACTTGTAGGTATAGAAAAGTATCGTTTTTAACACGTCCTCCGCACATGTTCTTACCTCTGAAACTGCATTTTTGTCTACTTCATATGCCAGGCCTGAACACGCCTGGGCTATTTCATAATATATATGCATAATTTCATCTGGATAATGCCAGGTACATCTTCCGGTAATCACAAAAGAGATCTGTAATTGAGTTGGAATACATAGAGATTAAAATAATTAAAAGATAATATACTTCGAAAACAAATGTTGTGGTTAATTTTGATATGAGACCTTTCTTTATTAGGTACAATAGATTGCGCAGATCGCGCACATATTAAATATAGTCATATATAGTTCGGGTCTGGGTGAAGAAAATCCTGTTTTACAAACAAAAAAAATCCAAGGATTTTCGTAATTAAAATATACGTCTAACGTGTAACATATTTTATGAAAAGGATTTAATACGTTTTTTATTTTAAAACATTTTACAAAAACGCTGTAAGTGCGCTGTCGACGCACAGACCGCGCGGACAGCCTTTTTTATTCCCGTATGAGTTCAAATTAAAATGATAAATAATTGCTGAGTAGGAGTGGAACCATTAAAGTGTGATAATATGAGCTAATTCAACATAAAGTGTTTTGTACCTGAGTTTGCTTTTTCTGACACAGTTCTTTGACAATGTGAGCATTCTGGTGATCTTTGGCTGAAGCATCGGTGAACACGTATATGTGGGAGCCACGATTACTTTTATTCAAAGCTAAAATTATTCCATTTATGGATGGTTCTCGACAGTCATTGTTATGATAATTATGAACATAAACCGCCCCCAATGCTCTGTTAAATTCGTTACGATTGTTGGTCGCTGTCCAGAACTTTGCATCTAAAATTAATAGACAATGATTAAATAAACCTCATAAAAATATATAAATACAATGCTCTATTTATAATTGTATACGTACAACAAATAGTTATAGAATTAAAATATTTCATTAAAAAATTAAAGTTTCAGTTCTCTTCTAATATTTTTTGCTTCATTTTCACACCCACGTATTAAATTCGAGGCATCTCTCTGCGAGGGTGCAAGTACGAAACCTACCAAAGGCAAGTACCAAATTTTTTTATGATTATTTAGACGCCACTGACAAACAGTAAAGGAAAACATCGTAAGAAAACCTGGGCTTATAATTTCTAAATAAAATGTATAAGTTTGAAATCGCCAACCCGCATTGAGCAAGCGTGGTGGTTAATGCTCAAACCGCGTACATATGACAAGAGGGCTTTGGTCAGCAGTGGCTACTTATATAGGTTGTTGATGATGTGTGATATAAACTTTTTTTTATTTTAAACTACATAAAACATAACACTGAAAGGTTTGTGCCAGGTATTTGTATGATCGTACCAATTGGCTTTGATTATTTCAAGTTTTTTCAAACGTCAGCCAAAATATATTGTACCATTTCGTACAAAAAATGTAAGATAAGGCAGAATATTGGACATTCTTGCTTTACCAGTTTCTGAGAAAGCAATTATGTTGTATAAACATAGAAATGTTATTTGTAAGTTTGGAATGTTTAAGAGACAAAACCCTATTTTTTTAAACACTTTCTGTCGCCATATTTTCAAAAGTGTTTGTTTAGTCTAGACTTAACTTGGACATACCTGGGTCGTTGAATGTGACGAGCACCATATTGCTGATCACGCTGGCCTTCTCATTGAACACAATATCCATGATCCGGTTTACGCTCCTTTTGACTTGATTTATGTCATCAGTCATCGAGAGAGTATCATCTATTACAAAGGTTAAACTCCCTTTCTCCGCGCATGATGCTTTCATAACAACATCAGCAAATACCAGTAACACTACCAGCGGATAAATCCGCCCCAACATTTTTAAACTAATTAATTGACTGATCCGTTGCAATGAACGACGGACACTGCGTTGCACCTAATCACTGAACTGTAATATATACTACTAATAGCTACTGTGTCATATATATTTCCAGAAAATTTAATTATTTTCCTTTTACTATTCGTAATTGACCGCACCTTGATTCATTTTAACAATGCAAAATGTTATGTAAATATGACTAAATTACATACATTTACCTCTGTTAGTAGTAATGTGTTCGTAATTTTTTTGTCTAATAGGGTATGAAAATTAAAATTCGAATTCGTTAGTCAGACAATAAAAAAATATTAGACATAAGTAAACAATACTTAGATTAAACGAATTTAAGTTGAGGAGCGGGAGCTAGCTACGCCACCGCTCACAGTCAATTGTGACATCACACGATATGTTAAATCATTATATTTAATTCGTCAAAAGTATTGAACTCTGTAAGAAAAGAAAAAATACGTGCCTAATTTTGTTTTTTTTTAAGAAAGTACTCTATGGGTTGTAAGGCACAAACATTCTTTACAAAATTATTTTAGTTGAAACTGAAAAACCCTATGACACTGCTCGATCCGAGAATTACACCAAAGATTGACGTAACGAAAGCATGTAATAAGGTGACGTGTAGTAACAGTTCTTGCCTATCAATTCGTTTGTTATGACGCACTGAAGTTCAGTGGGTTACCTACTCATTGGTGACGATTTTAACACGCTTTCATGTGGTTAACCTGTAACGGTTTTACGTAATAAAATCTAAGAATCCAAATTACAGTCAGGCCTTCTGTCCACGTTGCGATATTTAACGAATGCATGGATTCGTCAAAAACGGTAGGCGTATCACTTCGGTTGAGCCGCACGTCCCGAACCATGGCTCTCCCACGCTTCTACACATTAAGATTTAAACGTGAAGGATGCATGATTTCGCCTAAGTACGCAACGTGGATAATTAATTACCTTTATATACTCAAACGTACATTAAATGAAGTGAAAAATCTCACTTTACCTTTCGACTTAATATGTGGCGACACCATGTCACACATCAAATATCGATGAAAACAAATCAACGAATGACGTCAATAAATCCTACATCGCACAAATAAAGTTTACATGCGAATTAACATGGATAGAAAATTCCAACGAACAACTTCGGACAGAAAGCCTACCAGGCACAATCACCTTGCCTGGTCGGAAGATCCTCCTTTTCCGATCTTAGGGAACTTTACCCTCTGTTCCCTAAAAATATTTTTTAAATTATTTTCGATCAAACAAGAGAAATTTGTAATCGAATACTACTAACCTATATACTAAAAACATTAAAAAGCATGTGAAAATTGTCACATACGTTCACAAATATTACTATCATTCACTAGAAAGATCACTAGGAAGGACAGAATGACTAGGAAGTAAAATAGGACAGAAAAAACTGAATGTTATTTGGTCTGACGCCTCACAAGCTCACTATAATCGAAACTTCTTATGTTTAAAGCCGTCACAGACCTAGCTAAAATATTTTTATAGTAAAGTAATTTAAAGCAAGGCATATTATAATCACATATTTTCAATACAAATGTTAGAGTCACCACACACAAAGCTATAATATATATATTTTTGGGACATGACCAAAATACATCCACGAAATAATTGTGTTCTATTAATAAATTTTAATCGATAAGATCGCAGACCGCAAATGTATATTAGAGTAGCCCTGCTTGTGTGTCATCACTGCGAGGACCGCCCTGAGGATACGGTGGAACACACAGTCGGAGAGTGCCCTGCGTGGGCTGAGCACCGCCGTGCCCTCAGGGACGTAATCGGCGACGGCGACCTCTCGCATCTGGCCCTAGTGCGGGCCATGATGCGGAGCGAGGGGGACTGGGATGCCGTCTCCTCCGTTTGCGAAGCAGGTCAAGCTAAATAAGGAGGAGGCAGCGAAGCGCTGCCTCTTCACAACCCAGCCGTCGCGAAGGACACTCCGGGCGTCGGGGATCGCGATACGATCTCCGGCCACCGTAAACGCGGGCCTGCGGACGGCAAACATGGGTGGCTCGCCGCCCGACCCGAACGTACGGCGCGTCGCGTTCCGCGCGCGCCTCAAAGAGCCATCACACCACCACGGATGGGGCCCAATAAGGCTGATGCCGATACGGACTCGCGGAGAACCTAACGGGTTACCGGGGCTCCGGCTCGAAGTGCAGGAGTAGGAACGGGGTGGTTCTTAGTCAGTAAGAGTCTGACACTCTCTTCCGCCTCGCCTAGGTGGGAGCAGTCATTCGATGATTTTCCCCCCTTAAATAAAAAGCCCTGCTTGTGGTAGCTAGTTTTACTATAATATATAGCTCGATATAATAATATTTTTTATCATAAGAACCTTCTCCTAATGATGACAAATACAACACGCGTGATGCCGTGACCAAGGGAAAAGGGATTCATTTTTATATACATATACAAGGTGTTGTTTCAAAGCCGCGTCATTTTCTAGGAGGTAACTCGGATATCGATTCAATAAATAAATTGTAGGTAAATATTTTTCATTTTTCTCAAATTATGAAAATCTGTAAATGCGAGGTACACGCCGCCGTCTTGTAACTAGCTTTATAACGCGGCTTAACACACACAAACTCAAACACATAATTTGATATTATTCCTAATTTCATAAAACTCCAATAAGAAACATTGCTCTCGCTTATTTTGAAATACTGTCGAACTTAAACGATTTATTATAGCCGTATTTTTAACTATTGGCCCGAAATTTTCTCTTACATTGAACCTTTATGACTTCTGTGACATGCCCTCAAGAAATGACATGGTTTCAAAACTACACCTTGTATAGATAGAAGAGGTCTTTACCTATGAAATTGCTGTTTTGTAAGAATAATTTAATCGATTTTTTATGTACATTTTATTCGTATTGATCAAAGTAATCACCCATGTATTGGTTATCCAAATTCTAGAACAATTAGTCTGTAATCGCAAGGTCTTCTGGTTTTCTTTTTTATTTATAGAGGTTTGAAGAGCTTCCAAGGTCTATAAAAAGAAACTTGACAAAGAGTTCGTGTGGCAACCCACACGAACTCTTTGATCGCCAGTGCGAAATATGCGTCATGACGTGCCTTGCTAAGAGACACACAAATGAAGAAATTTTGAACCGCATTTTAAGTGTGGGAGAGCAATGCTTCGGCACGAATGGGATGGCACGACCGGAGTGATACCACGGCTTCACAGAAAACCGACGTGAAACAACGCTTGCGTTGTGTTTCGTCGTGGAAGTGAGGTTACCTGAGGCCCAATTACCCCCTACCCTAGTCTCCCCGATCTCCGTATCCTCCACAATCCTCAAATTCCCAATTACCAAAAGGCCGGTAACGCACTTGTGATGCCTTGGTGTTTCAGATGGCCATGAGCGGAGCCGATTACTTACCATCAGGCGACCCGTCTGCTCGTTTACCAGTTTATAATTAAAAAAAGAAGAAGTTGATTAGATCCTAGTTCAGGACCTAAATAATGTCCTAAATGAAAACTAACCCCTAGAAAAGTGATACGGAGCCGCAGCTAAGCAGAAGTATTAACGAGGTGGTTTTTAATCAGTAAGAGTCTGACACTCCCTCCCGCCTCACCTAGGCGGGAGAAGCCATTCGAAATTTTGTCACCCCTTATAAAAAAAACCCCTAGAAAAGTGATGGTCACTGTTTGGTGGTCTAGCGCCGGTGTGTTTCAGTACAATTACCAGCATTGGTAGCATTTGTCAATCGCTCGTCTCCGCTGCTCCTGCACGACAACGCACGTATACTGCACAGCAAACGGTTTCCAAGCTGCAAGAACTGGGGTCTCTCTCAAGCTCTCCGTCATCCGGCCTACTCACCAGACCTAGCGCCGACAGACTACTACTATTTCCAGAATTTGGATAACTTCTTAGCGGGAAAACATTTAATACTTGAGAGGCAGTACAAAATGCCTTTGAAAATTTCTTTAATAAGAGTATCAATAGACTGCCACTGCGTTGGCGAAGATGTATTGATTACATGAGTGATTACTTCGATTAATACAAAAAACATGAAAAACATTCGTTTAAATTTTTTATACAGTACGGCAATGTCATAGGTAAAACCTATTATTATCTACTTGTTTACATAAATACAATGTATTGTAATATATTATGTTTTGTACGAGTAATGTTGGAACTAATTGTTGTTCATAATAATGTTATTAAAATAATTTTCCTCATTCGATTTTACGTATCATTTTATTGTATTTATAACTAGAGGCCCATCCCGGCTTTGCTTTTGTGCATTATGAATTTCTTGGAAATTTGGCTTAGTAGCGGTTTCGCCCTAATTTTGTTCGCCCGAATCGGGCGAATGAACTACTTTCAATTTTGAATATTTTTTAGGGCCGGTTTCGCCCGAGACAAATTTAATAGCGGGCGAATCAGGTCAAGTAAAATTTAGTAATGGACTATTCGCCCAAATACTATTATACCTTAAAAAAAAATAAGTAGTACAGTCGAGCGCACCATGTATAAATATTTTTAAAGAGGATTTACTTAGGCACATATGTGTTACTCAAAAATAGTAAGTAACCTACTAGATAATATGCACAATGACTTTTGTTCCTCAGCGATAGAAGTAAAGACACAGCAAATAAACGCACCCACAGGAACACAAAAGTAGTATAATGCTGTCTCTGTCACTCATTTGCAAATTGTGCAGCGTGTTTCCCATCATTTGGTTTAGTGTGTCTAAAATACTG